CAGACATGACGTAATTGTTTTCAGAAAATAGTATGTAATAATACGATACAAACGTAATTCGATACGTCCAATTATAAAATCTTTTAAGCACAGTCATATGTTTAATATGTCAAAACAGATTAATCAAAGTGAAGTCAAGTTCCAATATGTCCTAGAAAAAAATTAATTCGAAATGGAACAAAGATTGAGAATAGGCAGTTATTAACTTGAAAACTTAAATCACGTTCTTAAAAAGCTCTGTCAGATCGAGACTTTCATATGGATGCCCTGTATGGCGCCAAACCCGTTCAGAAATATCTATATTGTCAGCTACACTTAACCGCTTTCTCGGATTAATGGTTAAAAATGGCTTTGAGCGAGTGAAGCCTGTGCTTCTTGACAACCTTGTCAACTGACGCTACAGAATCATGAAAAAAGAACTGTAGCAAATGACATTTCAACAGCTAAAATGCATGTCGCATGTCCCTCGAAGTGAAAATAATGACATAAGATGTTGATATTCCACACTATTTCAAGTAAAGGTTTAGGAAGGAAAGACTCATCAGTGCTGGAGAGAGCGATAACAGCAACTAGAGTTGAGAAACCTATTTCCCTGAAAAATAGTTTCAAGGGGAAGATTTTATAAATTTCAATCGCCAGCAGTACAGGATGATCGATCAATGACTGCCGAATGTTTCCTTATAAGGAAACGGCTAATATTACCTTTACTATTGCTTTTTGAAATTAGACTATTGTACATAGAATGGTTGAAAATCTATAACCCTTCCCGGGAAAGGCACTATGCAATGAACAAAGGCAAATTAAGCAGTCACTTTCATGAAGGCAAGAGTCTCGAACTGAACCTTTATTTAATCTATAATAGTAAGGTGTTCCAGTTCCATTGTCGGTGTCTAGGAATATCTCTTGTTATTCAGTCCTACTCGTCCTGTTCCAGTCGAGACTAAGTCTGTACTCCATGTTTGATGGTTGACCGACTCAGTGATTGAACTAATACTTACTATGCTACGAAAATCAACAAACGTTGATAGGCTAAATAATATTTTTATCCATATTTACTAATCTAGTCAGATCTGTCGGATTTGCTACTGCTATTATTGATACCTAATTGGGAACTGATAACATCGGGGAGATCATTGATGAAGATCGGAAACTGCCTAGGGCCCAGAGTAGAGCCTTGGGAGGCCTCCGCGTTCGTATGAAAGGATCTGGAAGCAAGCCCTTTCAATATGACCTTCTGTTGTGGATTCCGAGGTGAAATTCGGTCTCCAATGAATGACAAACGCAGGAATTAAAGATAAGAAATTAAATGTATTTACACAATAATACAATAAGTAATACTGTTAGTAAATCCAGGAACGCGGTTAGTAGCAATAATAATATATATATATATATATATATATATATATATATATATATATATATATATATGTGTGTGTGTGGGGTACACGCCTATGTGTATGTATATACATGTATATGTTATTGTGTGTATTCACATGTGTCTTTGAACATAGAAATATAGGTCCTTGCTGGATTAGACAATCGTTATATTTATCTTCATATATTTATATTTGATTTGTAACCTGTAGTCGATATTAAATTTTCTCAATTACAAAGCGGCCCTTTAAGTAAACGCAATTTTACTTTCTTTCGTCCCATCTCTCCCCCACCTCCTCTTTCCCTTCCCCTCCCTATTATTCTAGCATTAAATTGTCGATGGTGTGTGTATGTCACCACGAAATGTATCTTTATGCATTAGACATCCGTCGACATTCATTCTCTTTTATCTAAAACCCTTCCCACCACATCTCCTAAAATTCTCTCTGTTAAGGTTCAATCTCCCTCCTCCTCATATTTACACTTTCTCTAAATTCTGTTTTCACTTCCGGAGTGGGTTTTTTCTGTTTTCATTTTGAATTTGTAGGTCTGATGAATTGGATCGTATTTACGATTCCAATGGAATAAATTATGACCATGGAATATTAGTGTTTAAGCCTTTTTATTATATCCTTACTCTGTCCTAGACATTGAGATCTACCTGGATTCTTCCTCTTGGAATTTTTTTCTGAAAATATACATGTATGGGTATTTATATATTTTGCATACGTATGTATATTTTCCACTAATATCATATATATATATATATATATATATATATATATATATATATATATATATATATATATATATATATATATATATATATATATATTAGTCTCGAAGTAGGACTTCCTTAGAGTCTACGTGCTTGTAACTGAGACTTCTACAAGCGGTTACCTCACACTATTACTCTACCTCCAACTCAATCACAATGTCTTTTCTCACTGTCTATATTCTGACTGACTGGGTATTTAACGGCAGCAGTCCAAGTAACACTCTGGTCGAGTCCACTAATATGAAAAAGGGGAGGACCCCATAACACCTTCATTTTAGGATTAGTTTAGACCGATTGGATTAGACAAAATATTCGTCCTGTGACGCAGTAGACCTGGAGCTTGCCAAACCCTGTCGAAAGCCTTCGTGATACCTAGAGCCACAGCCCTAGCTTCGTCATTCTTATCTAGAGCTCGATATACAAATTTAGTGACATGAGGGGCATTGATGTCGCCGTACACAAAGATATTTGCAAACAGGTGGAGATAGAGGGGCTTATCTGTATCATCAGAAATACTGTCACTAGCACGCACTAGTCATAAGAGGAAGAGGAACGATAAAGAAAGAAAAGATAGCTGACTGTGTTTAGCAGGAAAAAAGGAGGCACATGATTTGGAGAATCAAGAGAGAGTTCCTTAGCAAGTGGGAGATATTTCCTAACATAAACACCATCCATGCATGTGGATACTAGCCCTTCCTAAAGAGAGAAAGATAGCTAGGAACCGAGAAACAGAGGAAGATATTAGAGAATTAAGATTAGTTTCACAGAGAGCTAGGATGTATAGAGAGTTTTCCAAGAACGATTCCACACTGAAGAAATTAGTATGAATAACACAAATATTGGAGAAAGAATGGTTGAGGAGTTTAGGTGTTTTTTGTCGATCTATTTTTATTTCGTTGGTTGCTTATCATTATGGTGTATTATTTAGGAAAGGGCCAAGAATAATAGTAGCTGTTAGTCGTCTAAGGTAACATGTACTGGCTGGAAATTGGCGCTGACTGGAGCACAGGATTGTCTACCGGAAGTGCTTGTAGAGACACCTTTCCATGCGCGACATGGCACTGCAAGAACCCCGATATTATGTGACTGTTGATCAGAGCCTCTCTAGACGCTACCCAATAGTTCGGGCTCCTAACTACCAGTCGGGATGCAGTAACCAGAAAACTGCCAACCTAGTACCCTTAATATGAAGACACGCAGACACCATCCACTTATATCATCGAAAATTCTCGACAACCACCAATATTAAGGCCTCAGGAGAAAAAACAGATCAGGGAACCCCCTCCTAAACAGGAAACAAGAGATGAGTCTCTGCTCCTATCCAACAGAAAAGGAGGGCATACTCCTAGAAAACAAAAGGGAAATTGTTTTTTAAGTTTTAACTTAAGTCGAAATATCCATTACCGGAATAACATTGGGTGGGTAATTAAAACTACTCTTATCGTATGAAGTGCCTCTAGTTTAGAATTTCAAGTTAAGTATCGTCTTAGAATATCATCCCAGACAACTTATATATATATATATATATATATATATATATATATATATATATATATATATATCCGGATGTAATGAGAACGAAAATAATATATAAATTCTAACGTTCACAGCATTAATTCAAAAGAGGCCTCAATACCGATAGGAGAGCAATAAATATTTATTATAATTTTTGATATTATAGACAAAAACAATTTACTCATTATAGAGATGCAACTTCGTTTCGGTGCATTTAGTTACACCTCGACTGGATAACCATTTTGGTTCCCACCGGTCGAGGTGCAACTAAATGCACCGAAACGAAGTTGAATTTTTGTAGTGAGTAAACTGTTTTTGTCTATATGAAAAAATTGTAATATATATATATGCATGCATAATTCGTAATTCTGACAAGTTTGACTTCCCATAATGCAACTGACGTCTGTCTTGGGTGTCAATCTCGCTACGGATATTGGAAGGCAAATCGACATAGTATAATTTTTTTTAATATAAAATTCTATATTTTGCCTTCCATCCGTATGGCTAATGCTAACCTCCAGGAGAGTGACCCATTGCACCTTATCGGGCTAACGCTTTCTACTGACATGAAGTGGAAAGATTATAGAAGTCTCCCATTCGTCCTTGCATTGAACCTTGAGGCCACATTTGGTCTGGGGCTTCCGTTATGTTTTTCGCAATTCTTGATAAAATACAAAGAAGTATCTGCAATATTATTGGTCATGACTTGGCATCTTGTCTTCAGTCATTTTCCCAACGCTGTAACATGGCTTTCCTGTTTCTTTTCTATAAATATTTTCATGGTAATTGTTCTCATGAGTTTTCTCTTTGGTACCTAGACTTTATAAATTTAAGCGCAGGACTCGATTGGTGGCAAGGTCTCATTATTGTGCAGTTGAAATTGCTAGATGTAACCGTAAGTTCTATGATAATAGTTTCTTCTCTCGCACTTCTCACTTGTGGAACTCTCTTCCTGCTTCTCAGTTAACTTTGATCTTCAAAAATTTAAAAGGAAATGTCAGTTGTTAACTTTTCTCTCCTTAATAATGTTTTCTTTCCCTCGTATTCGTTCATACCCGCATTGCGTCTTAGTGGCTTTATTGCCTTGTTTGTAGTTAAATCATTAAAAAAAAATATGCCACTGGGTACTTCTCACATTGGTACTTCCGACATACTGCGTAGATTTCCCGCCATGAGTGACTAAAATTGCATTATTTTTTTTCCATTTTCCCTGATTGCATGGCACCTCACTATTTGCATCTTCTGATGCAAAAAAAAAAAAAAAAAAAAAAACGAACTTTTCCTTGCAGTTTTTGACGGAGGCAACTTGTACTATACAAAACCATTGGAAAACAATAATAATAGATAGATAGATAGATAGATAGATAGATAGATAGGTAGGTTCACTTGTCGTCCGGTTCACACTCCTTCCCGGTTCCCTGAACTGGAGTAGAGATTTAACCTTCGCTTTCTGCTTAGGATTGGATTTCCGGTTACTTCTAAAGTTTACTTATAATAGATAGATAGATAGGTAGGTTCACCTGTTGTCCGGTTCACACTACTAACTGGAGTAGAGATTCATCCTCTGTTTCCTGTTTAGGTTCCTTCAAAGTCTATTCCGACTCTAACCTTCTAACGTCAACGGATGAATTCTGATATTTTATTTACGAATTCATTTTCCTCCTTTGTATGAGTAGACAGCTTTTCCTATCGTCCAGTTCGCATTCCGCCTGATCTTTTGAACAGGAGAAGAATGCCTGTTTAGGATTGGGATTTTAGTTCCTTCTAAAGTCTTCATTCTCTTTCACTCCCAGTAACTCCTTGCATCTTAGTGGCATTATCGCCTTGCTTAGGAGTGAATTGTTTAAAAAGGTAATGATAATAATTAGTTACTCTTGTACAAGTGTGCACTGAAGAAGTGTACGCAATCTGAACTTTGAACAAGATCAGTCCACGCAGCCCTCGGATTAAGACACCATTCTGGGATCTTTTTTATCGTACAAATCCGTGAATTTGTTTTGTTTATGCTAAGTCTCGTAAAAACACTATATAAACTTTACTATTTTTTCTCCATAATACTGAATCTATTAAATTCTACAACTTTTTGGCAAGAAAAATCTCAAGTTGATGTTAAAAATCGCCGCAAAACATTGTTGATTTATTTAAGATATTTAATTATGTCATGTCTAAATTGTATTTAGATTATATTTATTTTTAATTTTTGTAGTTGAATTGTTCACCTATCTATATCTATAATTCTCAAAATGTGTGTGTGTGTGTATGTATGTATGTATGTATGTGTGTGTGTGATCGGATGTTGTTTATGCGTTTCCACAGTTTTCATCCGATTTTGATTAAATTTTTTCTATGATAGATAATTCTTCAGTTCCGGTTTTAAGTCCAAATTGTCTAGAAAAAATTACAACCTTGAAGATGAAAAATCGAAAAAACTGATTTTTTGCGCTTTGCGTAAAATTCACAGGCTAAATTTAATGTCAGTAAAAAAAAACAGCGTACAATCAATTTAGAGAGTTGAAATCTAACGCAAAATATTATTAGGATTATAAAAAAAATGATATTATAAATAAAAATTATCGTATATTGCTATTATGACGGTCCATGGAAGAGGTTTCTTTGCAAGATTGAGAACGCAAAAAAGGCCCTTTTTAGCGCCACCCGCCCCCTATTCAAATTGTTAACCCTCCTCTTGGGGGATGTGCCTCAGTTGCACCCAATTGTTGTTACTAATATTGACTTTCAGGTGGGCTGACTAAACTTAAACTGCTCCAACTGAAAGGCAAAAATTATCAGTAATGAAACACCTTGTCGAAGACAGGTTATACTGCTAGTATTCCATAAAATCCATTATTGTACATAATTAGGCTACATATAAAATTTTAATTTTATATTCCTACTTCGTTATGAAAATGAGAGGACCTGTATCATAGATTCGTTGAGGGGCACGAGACCATTACACCGGTTCTGGATATATATATATATATATATATATATATATATATATATATATATATATATATATATAAAATAAATAATAAAAGTCAGTGTCCACATGAAACTTTTAGTTACGAGTAACAGAAAAATATAAGTACGATTTATCTCTGGGTGTTGACCTCGTTGTCATATATAAGTGTACATTGAAGTCAGTGGCGCTGGGTGTTGACTCCAATGTACACTTTTGTATTTACACATGTTCTATCCCTGATATTGAGCACTTTAACCCATAAATATAGCGTATCTTAAAACTATATATTTATCATACAGTTAGAGAGATATACATATATAGATGACCCGTTTACTGGAGTGGTAAACAAATTTAGAAGCGAATTTACAATGGCCGGTGAAGCTATCGTTTAAGTGTGTGTATCTCTTTACATGTCCAACAGGCTCAGATCTCCTCAGAACAATTAACAGGATATGCTTTCAAACAGTCCTTGACCGTGTCATAGTTACACGAGGGATTGTTAATATTAATCCGGAATCTCCTTAGTAACCACAAGTAGATTCAGAAACCCGGATTACAATCCACGTAATCACAGACGCACATATAAAAAAATCTAGATTAATAACAATAATAATAGTAATAATAATAAAAATGATAGTAATAATAATAATGATAGTAATAATGATACTACTACTACTAATAATAATTGGTATGAACACCACCCTGACCCCGTCCCGTAAGAATTTTATGGGAGTACACAATACACATTGACAGAACAATCAAAGTTAATCACTCTGACATCGTTATTAGAGACCGCAAACAAAAAATTGCCTCCTTATTGATATGGCAGTCCCTGCAGACTGCAGTGTATCTTTGAAGATCTTCAAAAAGCTATCAAAATACAAGGACCTTGAAATCGAAATCTCAAAAATGTGGCACATGAGAACTAACAATCCCTGTTGTAGTTGAAGTCCTCGGATTCGTTGGAAAAGATTCACTAGACGGGATTCCTGGAAGCCCATGCCTTAAAGAAATACAAAAAATCCTTTTTACAAGTACAGCCCACACCTTACGAATGTCTATAGTAGACATATGTAAAATATGTGTGTGTGTGTTTTTAATTCATCAGTGGGAAATTTCATGATGCTATTTCCGACCTCAGGTTCCTGGGCGATCCCGGAAAGAAATGTGAACACACCAGAAATCAAAGGAAATAATAATAATAATAATAATAATAATAATAATGACCGTGCGCACACGTCTGATAGGACGACTAGCCAATTCCTATTGCAAACCCCTGTCGTTTATACTACAGTGTAACCCGGATATAAGAGAGTTGTCGGGACCGGAGAAGAAGTCTCTTATATCCGGGTTTGGTCTATTTTGTTTAGGTAAGTATGGGCTCTAATTTGGGACCAGAGAAAATCACTCTTATATCCGGGTTTCTCTTATATCCGGGTCTCTTATATCCGGGTTACACTGTACAACTAAGCTGAGCGAATCCTAAATGCAAGTTCTAGGAGAGAATAAGTAATAAGAAAAGAGGATTATTTGGCAAGACCAAAAGCTTATCACGAAGAACTGCGACTTCTCCCTTGCCCAACCTAACCATTTTCACTTACCAAACTTGGGATCAACACGTGATATAGTTTTCAGGTATTTTCCAACGGTGCTACACTGTAAGGCCGATAACATCAAGATCATCTTCCTGACAAATCAACCATGGTGAGATTCGAATACACAAAACATACCATACACAAAACATACACATACATACGTACATACATACGTAGAAAGAATAGATAAATAAATTCAGTATGAGTGACCGCTTATGAAGATCAGGTGTTCTATGCTTTTGAGTCTGGTGTGATGGATAATGGCTCGGAATTGAAAATCGGAGAGCCAGGTTCTAATTCCAGTTGGGTTTGCTATATTCACTTACGCGCAAATGCCCTTGGAAAAGCTATGAATCCACCTCTTCTCCCCCAAGCTATGGGTTAATTAGTAGGACGTGTATCAATAAATCATTATCATCTCCTCCCAAACTCTTATAAACTAAAGATATTTCTGGCTTTAAATAACCCGCCTGATCCATAAATATCAAATTTAATATTTGAAAGCCTAACAATATTTCTCTCCAATGCCCTTGGTAACGTTCCTCTTTTATTTTATATGCGTATTACTTATTAAAAAATAAACTAGTTTGTCTGATGAACGCGAAAGCGTTAAACCCAGGGCCACAAACTCACAACTGAATAGATAGATAGATAGATAGATAGATAGATAGATAGATAGATAGATAGATAGATAGATAGATAGATAGATAGATAGATAGATAGATATTCTCCATTAAACTATACCAAATGAATGCATATAAATTTAAGTTTTCCAAAAATAGGGATGCTTGAGTCATTTGTGAAATTACGTAGAATGGAATGAGATGTAAGAGTTCCTGATATTGACACTTTTCAAATAACGTATGAATCAATAAAGGCTTAGTTTAAGTCTACGATCTCTTATTGACGTTAGCTTAAATTAAGATTTTCAACTCGTATAATTAATACATTGCAATAAATCTATTGGCGGTTCTATTTCTCAAGGTGTAACATGTGATAGCTTTTTCTCGTTTCTTTTCGTAGCCCATTATATAAACGCTTACTGACCCGCATTTAATCAATAAGTCTTTTCTAAGCGGTTTTAATACTTTATTAGGTAATGTCAAGAAAACAGACTAGATTCAGTTTAGGCATGAGTTATTCATTGCACAATATCGTGACAGAATCAAATTTAAATGAGATCTTTAACACGTCGTACCATCCTACCGGTAGAACATATAAAGAATGAATCATTTATACCTGTTCAGTTCAACACTATTGTTCATAGAAAAAAAACAAACATTTGCAACACATTATTATTTTCTGTAACATAGGCAGTTTAGAAATAGAAAAGTGTTGTATCGTTGAAGTGAATGATAGAGAAGAAAGGGTGCTTAATATATTTCTTCAGCACCAGTATCCAGTGTTAATGAATATATACAAAAAGATAAAAATAGAACAATAAGTTACCAAACAATTAACAAGAGAACTTACAAGGAATAGAGGAGAGTCAAATGCGGTATAACCAAACGAAGATCAGTCCGAATATTAATCAACTTAGTATCAACTTATTAATTAACAATATTTATTGTCGCAAATACAACAAATGTGGCACAAGGCCTAAAGTGAGTGGGAAAAAGGACGGTCATCATTTGTCTTAATTTAAAACTTAGCTAGCCACAACCACTGACCCTATCATACAAAACAATATTCCTTTCACCAAAACACATTTATCCATATCTTTCTTACTGCATTCACCAAAATACCTCTTTGACTCAATGAAAATCCTAAATACTCCCCTTATGTACAAATATTGACTGTGGGGGGAAGGGCATAAAAAACAACAATTTTTAAAAGATCCCCAATGAGTATATACAATATGGCATATAATATATTTACAAGAAACTAAACAAAAAGGGTGTTAGTAATAAAAAAAACCCACAAACCTTATATGTGGCAGAAATATCAGTTAACCGGACGAAATCGACGCGGGAATATGAAAAATAAAGGTAACATTCATTCCTCCCAAGCATTCACACAGGCACACACTCATTCATACACAACAACAAATACGAAAAACACACACGCGAAACGAAAGGCGCCCCGCATCCACCAGAGAACTGACATCACTGACCACCTAAACGAGGGAGGGGATGGGGAATTAAACTAAAGAGAAAAAAAAAATAGAACAATAAGTTACCAAACAATTAACAAGAGAACTTACAAGGAATAGAGGAGAGTCAAATGCGGTATAACCAAACGAAGATCAGTCCGAATATTAATCAGCTTAGTATCAACTTATTAATTAACTGTTGAAGTCTTTAATCGTAGACTATTTAAGGCTATGAGCCAGGCCATCTGGTAGAGTGCTGAAGGGGTGCTAGCTACTCTACAACAAAAATAATTACTTTATAGTTTACTGACCAAAAAAAAAAAATCGTTAGGTTGGTTATTCATTACTCCTCTTGCCTTCAATATAGGGATTTTCCAAGCGTAGCTTAAATGTGGCACAAGGCCGAAAGCAGAGGGCACCCAGTGAGGATCGAACTCACTACTCAGTCGTAATTGTTCTAGCGATCCAAGCTTGGTAACCATTACACCACCTCGCGGTGCCTCTTTTGCCTTCGATATATCTTGTGAGTGTTAAATTCTCCACGCCTCTTTTCCTCATTATGTGTTCCGGAAATCTCTTTCTGAATCTATACACAAGTGCTTACCATTTCCCTTAAAACGTCCACGCTGCACACGTGCACCGTCCATTTTAGTCTCAGCATCCACCTGCTGCATAACCACATCTTTGTTGCTTTCTATCACTTCTCTTCATCTATAAGGTGATTTTCCAGCAAGCTGAGGAAACTTTTCTTTGTTTTGCACGAAATTTTTTTGTTTCTTAATACTTTGCTTAGCTTTTGAAAGGTATCTTTCGCTATTCCAATCCGTCTTAGGATTTCTGTGTGACATTCTCCTCGTCAGAATCTTTGTACTTGATTTTGACATCTCCATTTCGTAACTTGTGTCTTGAGTTATCGTTTTTGCTAATGTCCATTCATTCTCTCTTCTAACTATTGATGGTTAGTCCTTTCTTCTGGCTTTCCTTTATTACCGAGCACAATCTACCCTGGTACGTCAAAAAAAAAAAAAAAAAAAAAAAAAGAAATGGGTTCAGTTTGAAAAGGAGACTAAAGGATCCTGAAAGAAGTTTATAATAATCTGTATGCCATTTAGTCCAAGAAAGGAATCCCTTGTTCGTATAAAAAAAAAATAACTGAAAATGTACTCTCCGGCAGGGTACAAACCTGCCCCACTCGGGTAGCACGTGCCTTTTATTACGTGTGTTGAATGCAGAGGCCTGTAGATGTAATTCAAACTGTTTTAAAAACGGTCGTCTACACAAACATAGGTATCCACTAAAATAACCTCTGGAGTAGTAGTAGTAGTAGTAATAATAATAATAATAATAATATATATATATATATATAAACTTTTTTTATTTTTGTTTAAAAATACTTGTTGCAAAATAAAATAGTTTTCATTTGGTCCATCATAAGACGAAACGCATCTGCTAAGTTTAGTTTTCTCCTCTTGTTCTTTATTCATATATATATATATATATATATATATATAGCCGACGCGTTTATTCCTCTGGGACACATTTGCCTTGATAAAGTTAATCATAGGAGAAAACACGTAGGCTAAGAACAGTTTTTCCTCTTGTCTCTTTTTATTATTATATATATATATATATATATATATATATATATATATATATATATATATATATTATTCATTTTATTCCTTTACTGATGCACACTATCTGAAAATAATTTACAGAAACACACACACACATATATATATATATATATATATATATATATATATATATATATATATATATATATAAAAAAAGTGCTATACTAATATTCCATGGTCATAATTTATTCCATTGGAATCGTAAAACTATGATCCAAATCATCAGACCTTTGAATTTGTAGGTCTGATGATTTGGATCATTTATTATTCCAATGGAATAAATTATAATATTGATGTTTAAGCCTTTTTTATTATATCCTTACTCTGTCCTAGACATTGAGTTTCTACCTGGATCCTTCCTCATGAAAAAAAATTTTTTCTGAAAATATACATGTATGGGAATTTTTTATATATATTTTTCATATGTATGTATATTTTCCACTAATATTATCTATATATATATATATAATTTAAATAAAATAATCAAATTTTAAGGTAGTACAGAGAAAGAGAGAACACCAGCGAAAGCGAGCCTACCGGAAGAAACGAGATCAATGCCATATTAACAGGTAGCTGACCACCTGAGGATAGCGTGAAACGCATGAATCTTGTGACCAGCTACTGTGAATTTATGTAGAATATATATATATTGAACAATAAAAAATATTAAAAAATTAAAATCTTTAGACACACTGTTAATATTTTTTCATTTTTATTATTATTTCATTTAGATTCCTCAACTAGTTTCGGCAAACATGGCCATCATCAGGAGAAAAAAAATCTGCTGCTGGTAGCAGTGAACTACAGAAATGAATGTCTTGATGAAGAAAATCAACTTTTGTCTGTAGTTTTCACTTTTTTAAATTTTTTTAAAATGAATTTTGGTCAGTCCTTGTGTTGGTCAAGCAGTCACTTTTCAGCTGTTATTTAAGATAAGAGCTGGATGAATTCATGCTGCTCTGAATTCCCTTGGTCATTTTGACAGTATATATATATATATATATATATATATATATATATATATATACTGTCATCTCTCGCTAATTCGCGCTTCGTCATTCGCATCTTCAATTTTTAATAAATTTATAAACATTTATTAAATTATTAAAATATTTGAACCAAATCCTTATTATTTACCATGTTATAAAGCTTGAGTCAATTGGTCGCTGTTTTTTTTTTTTTACAAGCATTACACTAAACAATATAATAGATAGTGTAAATAAACGATAAATATTTTTAAAATAGTGTTTATTATATTTGGTGTCAATTCTCAAGGACAAAGAAAATGTATAAATTCACTTTCATATGTTTAGTTTTTATTGCAGTTCTAAGAATCGCTTTTTAAAAGAATACAGACTGCCGATGAGTGAAGGTAGTTAAAATAATAGCGGTGTTAAAGGAAAACTGTCCTTTTTACCACTTCGTTTGTTTTTTTTTTGTGGGCACGGACGTCCAACTTTGCTAAAAGATTAATAAATAATAAAAATACAGTGTTGTAAGGAGTTAAAACTAACTTCTCTCGTGATATAGTTGAAGTAAAGAATACTTATTAAACTGATACTTTCTGACAGCAGTGACTTTTGTAAATGGTTTGTACAGTTTTAGTAAACAATACTATCGAAAATAAATTCCTAAAAACATTTTATGTAATATGTTTAAGCTTTGAAGTGAAAAGTAATTCAATAAATTCTATTTATACGCAGTTTTCTTTTCCCTCCTAAATCATAAGGTCTGACCTACATACAAAAATGAGTCGCAGTTACGCGGATGTGCAGAGTGTAAGATAGTAATAACTTCACGATTTGATTGCCTGAAGTACTTGTAAAATACACAATGTACATAAATTGACTATAATCAACCCATCTCTCTCTCTCCTCCCTCTCTCCCCTCTCTCTCTCTATCTATCTATATGCGTGTATGCATATATCTGTGTATGTACATATATATATATATATATATATATATATATATATATATATATATATATATATATATATATATATAT